GATAACCAAAGATTTTTTAATGATTTCAGGTTCCCATGGACAGCTAGTACCTCATCAAACTCGTATCAAATGAATTAGGTGCAAAAAAGATTTAAATCAAGCAAATTTGGAAAGTTTTAATGGAGGAATCAAATCAAATTCGAGGGCATTGATAGAGCAAGATTTGAACCACAAATGCTACCCTAATCCAATGTACAATACATAAGCAAGCTAAAGGCACGGAAATAAGGGTTGGAAATCACGGGCAGAGGCAGAACAAAAAGGTGCAAAATCACAAAAAAGTGGGAGATCAAAATCAAGGTTAGAGACATTTTCAGGACTTAAGAGTTGTCTCAATCGATTGCTGGCCATCTCCAGAAGCTAAATCAATCACAACCAGGCATTTTCAAGTTTCCATACGCACTGTAAGTCTCACGCGAGTTACCCCTGTTCTTGATTTCGTATCTCTGAAATTAGACATTATTTTCATGAACTAATTGCATATTTGTAATCCTCACATCATTTACAAGCTTTTGGCATCATTTGATTTCATTTGTCTGACTGGTATCAAGATCTACCATAACTAGGTTTCTTTATACGTTTTTAGGGCTTTCTTTTTCAGGTGAAATTGGCCTTAATGGTGGTTATGGCTATGATCAGAGAGATGAGACGAGGCTAACCATGGTCTTGGATTCCATTTATATGGCCTGGAGAAAGTTTTAGAACGAACCTGCGTTTTTAGCTGTGGATAGAAATCCGCAGGTAAAGTTACAGTGATGGAAGGACAGGGATGAACTCATGTCACCCACCCATTGGCCGGTTCAAATATTACGCGCTTTTTTTTTCCTGGCATTTGACTTGTTTTTATATATTATTTTTCATTTGCAATGTTATAACAAAAACAACAACACGTCCCAACGGTTGCCACATAAGCCATAAAGGACCCAAAGGCTGGAGGTCAGGGGTTCGATCCCTGCCTCCAGCAAATTGCCTTTTCTCAATTATTTTCAGGAGATCTAGTGCGTGTTCAAGCCAAGGGATCACCATGCTCCCTCACCAATCCAAGCGCCAGATGGTCAAAGGGCCAGATCTAGTGGTCAGATATTGAAGGTCCACCAAAGAGCTAGTCAATGCATGAGCAGGGAATTCCAAAAGTCCACACGGATCAGTTTCAAATGGGCCAAGAAAATTGTTACTTACACCCTCAAATCAGGTCCAATTCTTCTTCTTTTTTATTATTATTTATTTTGTTTATTTAATTTAATTCCTTTATTTTTAATTAGTTTCTAACCAATAACTTTTTTTTCTTTTTATTAAAAAATCACGAAAATATCATTTTGTCCAATTAAAATTAAGAACTTTATTTTTATTTAATAAATTTTAATTAATTAGTTAGGTTGTTAATTTTAGGAAATTTTAATTTATTTTGTAAATAAATAAAATTAATTAGACTTAATTAGGTTTTAACTACTAATTTAATTATTTTATTTTCTTTCTTAAAATAACAAAAAAAACCAAAAATATGTCATTAATTATTTTTTCCATTCAATTTATTTAATAATTAATTTAGTAATTAACTTAGGATTTAATTTCTTTTCTTAAATAAAAACAACAAAAAATGGCATTTTCTTTTAAAAGGGTCAAAACCCTAATTGTGCATCTGATTTAATTTCGCGTCGCGATTTACTTTTCTTTATCCATATTGATGTATCTGTTTCCGGTATGTAATAGATAATTAGGACATTTTATTTACCGCTTTATTTTATTTTATTTTCAAAGGGTTGCTTTTGGCGATGTAAATACCCGACGCCTTGTAATTTAATTTCCGCACCTTTAATTTCTGCAAATTATAAACTGCTAGATATTTGATAATAGGGTTTGCATGACAAGACTGAATGTTTAATCTTAAAATCAAATTAGATCACCCTTAACATATGCAAAGATATAAATAACTGAAAATAACACACTCGCACATGCGCACTCTAGGGTACACCCCACTTGGTTGCCTTCGTACACGGTCATTGAGTATAGATCGTTTTAGAGGCCGTCCTCTTGTCTAAAAGATCATAGTTGCCTCGAAATGGTTGCATCGGATATTGTTGCCTCAGATAAATGATCTAAGACATTAGGGTTATTACTAAGACGTCCTAACATTGCTTTAGTGACCGTACGTCCCTTTCGAATTGATCCTCAAACTCCAACGACGATGCTACCTACTCATTAATAGTGGGATAGCATTATCTAAAGGAAATTAGCATAGAACGATTCCTTTTTTCGAGTAGGTAGATTAGCTCTTAGATACTTGCTCTTTCAAAACAAAACTCTTCACACTTACACTTTTCGAACAAAGTTTTCAAAACACTTCATTACACTCTTGAGGACAGAAGCAAGAGTTAAATCGAAGTTTCAAACAAAAACTTTTTCAAAACCCACAAGCACAAAGAAAACAAATTTGAAAACAATGAGCAAGTACCTAAGAGCCCGTAGATAACTACGGATAGAAAGGGTGCTAATACCTTCCCTTTCTATAATCTACCCCCCGTACTCAGAGATAATCTTGAAAAATGAATTTTTCTGTGCTTTTTTCCTTTCCTTGTTGGATAAAATAAAAGTCGGTGGCGACTCTTTCTTACCGCGACATTTTGCGAACAAAAACGCAAAATGCAAACCAGCATTCCAAAAAACAGTCAGTTCTTTCCACCGTATCACAGGGTGCATGTGTGCAAAGTGTGTTTGATTGCATGCATTTTAGTCTTGTTAGGGTGATCTATTTGTCAATTTCATGTCTTTCCATACACACCCTAATTACTAGTATTTACATTTTAAGGCGATAAGTTGCAGAAATGTAAAGTCCTACGCTATTACAATATTTAGGGGATGGGGGTACATATTTATGAATGGGGTTGCAAGTAAAAATAAGTCCTAAGTTACTATTGCAACCATATTGAAATGTACAATATAAGAAAGAAAAAAGACTTGTTTAGAAAATGGTTTTTTTTGTCTTAATGAAAATAAATAAATAAATTAATTAATAAAAAGAAAATATTTTTATGTCTTTTTATGTTAATATTAAAAATGATGAAAAGGAAAATAAATGAAAGATAGAAACAGCGTGCTGCTGCAAGAAAAACAACAAGGATCAGAAGTTCTGAATCTAGGCGCGTGGTGATTCAGAAGGAAGCGTCAGTGGGTATCTGAAGTTCTGGATTGGTAAACTCTGAGGTCCTGCAAAACACGTTAGAGGGAAAACACAGAAGTTCTAGATGGTATTCAGACAGTGGGCCATAAGTCAGAAGTTCTGTATTACACTAAAATAATGAGTAAACGCCAGCAGTTTAGTGCGTTATCAACATGTAAGAATCAGAAGTTCAGTGTGTGTTAACAGTGAGTGAACAATCAGCAGTTCAACATGTTATCAGCGTATGAAAATCAGAAGTTCTTAGTGTTAAAACAGTGAGTGAACATCAGAAGTTCAATGTGCATTAACAGTGAGGATAACTCAGAAGTTCTGTATTGTGCTGAAGTTGTGAGTGAACATCAGAAGTTCTATGCCATATTTCAACTCTTAATCAGCACATCAACAATTTATTCAATTCTTAATAAACAGCAAATCAGAAGGATAATAACACAACAGTTTATAGAAGTTCTAATCCTGAATCTGAGTCTAGCCCTAATCAAGAAGTTCTGATCCACATTTTTTCTACTTAAGCAATGATATGTACAACATTAATACTATGATATTCACATATTTAATGATGTTCTGAATGAAAAAATGCAAAGTTAGAAAGACTTACCTTGAACCTGGAACGTGGGCTTGGAGCTTTGAGCTACTACCTTTGGATGTTCTAGAATCAGCAAGAGTAACGGAAGAGGAAGTGTCAAGTTCTTTGATTCAAAGGGAAGAACAAAGATTTAGTTTTCTGTTTAGGAAATCTGGATTTTTATGAAGGGTTTCACAGATTTCTTTTTCTCTTTTGATAGCTCTCTCCCAAAGCCAGCCCCTTGAACGTGTGATGGAGCAAAGTATTTATAGGTGAATTTGTTGTGATTTTGGGGGGAAATACAAATGGGATTTTAAATCAATTTGACATCCTGCTCCTTTGCTTTTTCATCAATATTTTCGTATGCTAGTTTGGTGCAATTATGGGATGCAGGCGTAGGCCGAACTAGCTGCTGATTAGCAGCTTTTAACCATGCTTAAGCTGGAGTTGTCAGCAGGATTTAAGGAAAAGTAAAACAAAGCATGGGCCTAGTACCAAAGTTTGCTATCCCAATACAGTAGAGTACACGTGGTGGGCATCCTTTGGATAAAGACTCAAAAGTGGATGTGAGCATTAAATGATGATGAGACTTATCACAACCAGAAATCCTGTAACGTGAGATTCTACACCATGGCTTAGTTCTGGATCAGAAGTTCTGCTTCAGCGTAACATCCATCGTCTGATTTTTGTATCTTTTGGCTCCAGCACATTCTGAAGGAACTTTCAGACTTTCTAGAAAGCTTGCAGCATGCTTCTTAACCTTCTTTGAATTACCCTAGCAAACTCTCACTGAAGCTTTTTTGTGAAAACTTAACCAGAAGTTCTGACCAAACTTTGCCTTGAGAGTGTCCAAAATTTGCTGAGTGTTATGGTGATAATCTGGTCAGAAGTTCTGAGTTTTGTCATGCTTCTTAAACACTTAGAAAAATTTCTAAGTATTTAGAATTTGACTTTTCCAAAGTAAAATTTGACTTTTGAAATTATTGATGAAACAAACTTCATATTCCAACATGTCTTGATGAAATATGATTTTTGAGATTTGATTTTGATCCAAAAGTCAAAGTTAGACTTCTCAGTGTGCAAATGACCATTTTGCCCTTATGAATGACTTGCTTGGAAAAATTGATAGTTCAAGGCCTGGAAACTTGATAGAAGCAAACCTGGGATCCAAGGTGATCTCTTATGAAATTAGAGGACAAATTTTGGGGTGCAACAGACACCCTCAAACATACCATATATGCGTGCATCATATTGCACAACATGATTGTTGAAGATGAACGACATACATATGGAGGTAATTTTGATTACTCTTATGATAATATGGATAACAAGAACTCAACAACTGAAACATTTAGCGGTCCTCATTCGAATCTTGCAACAAGACTACAAAGAAGAGCAAATATTTGTGAAAAACAAGTTCATCTTCAAATTCAAGGAGATCTAGTCGAGTATATTTGGGAAAGTTTTGGACATAAAGATGATGAAATTTAAGTTTGATTAATTTATGTGATGTTATTTATTTTTATTGTTTTTAATTATAAGCCATGTATTTGAAATTAATTTTAATTATCATATTAAATTATACATTTAGTTTGAAATTTCATTACAAGAAAATCACTATTTAGCTACAATTATTTAGCGTCGGCCCCGACACCGACACTCATAGCATTGTTATTACGGCGATATAAGCCGACGCTAACTGAATAAAGCCATTTGTTTTATTTTTTTATTAGGACGTTGATCATAGTGTCGGCCATAGCCGACGCTAAAACTTGCTCTTTATAATTTCCTTTCCCCAATTTCGTTTGTCTCCTTATTATTTATTGTATTAAATAATATTTTTATTTTTAATAGTAGCGACAGTTCGGCCGCCGCTAGTATTAGTGCCTAATTTTCGTTTGCCTCCTTATTAACTACTGTGTTTGTCTCCTTATTAAGTAATGTATTAATTAAATATTAATTTTAATAGTAGCGACGGGTTTGGTCGACGCTAACATTGGTACTAAATAATTCATTTCCCTCCACCAATTTTGTTTGCCTACTTTTTATTTATTGTATTAAATAATTTATTTTTAATATTAGCGACGCTTTGGGCCGACGCTAATATTAGTGCCAAATAATGTCATTTCCTTCCACCAGCTTCGTTTGTCTCCTTTTTATTTATTGTATTAAATAATTATTAATTTTTAATATTAGCGACGCTTTGGGCCGACGCTAATATTAGTGCCAAATAATTTCATTTCTCTCCACCAATTTGGTTCATTTTTTATTGTTTCAAACTATTTGTTAGTAGATTATTTTTAACTATAAAATGAAAAACTAATATATTAAACTAACTAAAATTAAATTTATAAAATAAAATCAATATTATAAATTAGTAAATTAAAATAAAACTAACTAAAATTAAATTTATAAAACAAAGTATAAATTTTATAAAATCAAATCAAAAGTATATTAAACTCAAATTTATAAAATAGAATCAATATTATAAATTAGTAAATTAAAATTAAATATTAATTAAATTAATAAAATTTAATTAAAGTTTAACTTATAAAATAAAACCAAAACTATGTATTAACAAAATAATAAAATAAAAGAAAAAAATGAATTAAAATCTATTTAGTAAAATAAAATAAAAATAAAATAAATAAAATATTATAAATTAGTAATTAAAAGAAAAACATTTCAGATTGTAAAGATAAAATAAGTAAAATATTTAAATTAGTAATTAAAAAAGTAAAATATTGTAAAGAAAAAACAAAAGAAAGAAAATCTTTTCAGCTTCTCAGTGAAGCAGAAATCGTCTCAGAGAAGCGAAAATCGCCGTTTCAGCGTTTATCAATCGTTTCAGGTTGAAATCTTTCATTTCATCGTTTCATCTCCAGATTGAAATTGTGTCTCAAAATCATTTCATCGTTTCAAGTTGCAAGGAATCGCTTCTCAAAATCGCTTCAAGTTGCAATCGCTTCTCAAAATCATTTCAGGTTGAAATCTTTTCATCATATTTCTTTTCAAAATCGTGTTTTCGATTCTTCATTTCAATTCTTCATTTCGATTCGTCCGTTAGATACTGATTGCTCCAATTTTTATTTTGTGTTTTGCAATGATCACTTTTTTCTGAATTGCTTTGCTGTTCTGCTGTGAATTTGTGAATTTAGATTCAGTAGTTAATTAGCCCTAATTCCTAACCTAATCTATTTTTTCTGTTAATTTTTCTGTTAATTCAGTAGTTAATTCTGTTAATTTTTTAATTAACTCGCTTGCAAAATGGTTTGTGTGAAATAGAGTTTTACAACCGGTTTATGTAAAATGGTATCAAATTTGAATTGAATTTAGCTGGTTTGGCAATTGGTGGTGGATTAACAGACCCTGTAACACAAGTTGTTACTCATGTTGCTAATGCTTATTACGTTGGATTAATCAATGAGAAGCAAAAGAATGAGTTGGAAAAAGCACAATTTGAAGTTTTTAGATTGGTTGAAAGAGGGAATTGGAGTGAGGCAACTGATGCTAGAAACAATGCATTGAGTTTATTGTGTAGCATGACTGGGTTGGCTACTTTGTTTGATTATTCAAGGAAAATTCCTTATGAAGATGATTTGGTTGAAAAGTTGTTGAACATTGCTGAAGTGAAGAAGGCTTTAGGAGTGAATGTCGATGAATCGTTTGTTTACGAGATATGCAGTGATGCTGTTGGTGATTTATTGCATGATGATGTGATGAAAAGTGTTAAGTTTATGGTGGAGAAGTTATTGAAAGAGAGTACTAAAGTGTTGTTGTATCAAGGACAACGTGATTTGCAAGATGGTGTGGTTCAAGTTGAGGCTTGGGTGAAGACAATGAAATGGGAAGGGATTGTTGAGTATTTGAATGCTGAGAGAGAGATTTGGAAGGTGAAAGGAGATTTAGCTGGTTATGTGCAGAAATGGATGACTCTTACTAATGTTGTGGTTTGGGGGGCTAGACATCTTTTGCCTACTGATCAACCTTTGAACTCTCAAGCTATGATTGAAGATTGGGTTTTGGAAAAGGGTTTATTTGGAAGTGTCTTGTATCCAAATGTGTCCACGAATTCTGTACATGATGATGTCTAACTATTTGAGCTTAGTTGCGGTGTCATGTGTTGTTAGTTTTGATGTTGTTGTAGAAATTGTAATAAATATCAAAATGCATATTTTTCTTAAGGAAGGCATGTTTAAATATAGAGACCAGTCAAGGGAAGATACAAAATAGTTGTATCCAAAGTCAAAGTAACTTACCTTGGGAGAGTTGTGAGCTGACAGGGAATGGTACCATTGAGACTGTTGTTGAAAAAACTAACATGTTGAAGTTCCGTTAGCTAGCCTAGCTCAGAAGGGAGTTCCCAATTTCAAAGGTTTATATGGTTGGTGAGTAACCATGAAGGAAGAGGAGGTGATAGACTCCATTTGACAAGAGCTTCCGCTTCTGTTCTTAGTGATGCTGAAATTTTCAATGGAAGCAAAGATATAACTAGTATATAAAACAGAAAACCAATAGCTTTTTGATGATTTGTCATTTCTATGTGTACATGACCTTTTATGTTAATATTTTAGTATGATGATTAGCTTGAGAATGTTGTTGCATTAAAATAAGGGATTAATATCCTTATCTGGTTTAAGAGTGAGAAGAAAAACCTGTGAACATAGAGGTAATATTTCCTTCCCCTTAGGAACATTTCCTTGACATAAGGGTCTTCTCTCCCAATATAAGGGTCTGGAAATGAAATGATACTTAAATTAAGATATGGCAATAGTTTTAAGAAAATAAATAGTGTTTCTTCTAATTATCCAGTGTTGCATACAATGTTGAGGTTTTATCACTGTTCTCTATTTTATCACTGTCTTTGCTTTTATTTTTAAAGGTTTAAGCATTATGTTGGCATTTCATTAATGTTGGGTGTTTTTCTGATTTCAGGAAAAACTTTGTCAATGGTTGTGTAGACAGCAAGAGGTTAGATCAAAAGTTGCAGCATTTGATATAATTAACTATATTCAGGTTGGTTCTATCTAGTTCTACTGTTTTAATGGAACCGAATTGTATGATTTTCTTTAACTTCTGTCCTGCTTTTGTTAATTTATCAAACACATAACATAACCCATATGTTATGTTCCATTAATTTCTACCTTCTCTACCAAATGCTACCTGATAGGAGTTCCAATAAGTTCCAAGAGTTTGCCCTTCTACAATAGAGTCGCTACTCTATTTACTAAATATATTTCTTTTAACTAACTGCATAACTACTCTATTTAGTCCAAACTACCCTTTATTCGTTATCCTACCAGTAAGAACCATTCTTCAAGAGCGTGACATGCAAGAACCATTCTTCATGAAGGATTAGAGTAACAATTATAAATATAGTTGAGAAGGTTCAAACATAATAGTTTGGTAAATGCAGAAAACAAAATCCATTGAAAGTAAACATTAAAATCCTGACAGCAATTGTTTGAATAAAAAAATAGAACCCGAAAAATAAAATTCCTCTGATCTTGAGAAAAGGTCTTTTAATGTAATAGGAATTATTGAACTCATAAATGACACTCATTATAACTAATTTTCATGCATCAGGATTGATACTTTTAAACTATTTATTTTAGTTTAACGTGTGATTTTGTTATACATGGTTAAAACATTTAAAATGTAACATGTTTGGCATTCTGAAACATTACTCTTATGACTTGTGCGTGGGCTCTAATTAAGCTCTTCTTTTGTTGTTTTTCTTCTTCCCCTTTGAAGTCCAGCGTATATCTAAAACGCCTGGAAGCATTGAGCACCAGTGCTGCTTGATATACATGAGTAAAACTTCAGTTTAGATGCCTTGGAAAAGCACGCTACCAAGCTAACATTCATCACATACATTAAACAATTTAACCATAACTCAGGATAGAAATAATGCTAAAAACCGACACATTGATGATTTGGCCATGACAAACTCTATTCCGTTTGAGTATTAAATGCAGTCTCGGGAACCAGAAATGCAATTTTCTATATACTATTAAATATGATAATGGCAGAGTTCATAATTAGTTCAAAAAAAAGACATGAATCTGTAGTATTGATCCAATATGGAAACTAAACCTTTGGTCCCCCACCAAAGAGGCATCTCAGAACTCTCATTCTTTCTATTTGAGTTTGGTGCTCATCGTCAAGATTGTACTCGTATTTAAATTAACTCAAGTTTCAAATCAAACTAATTACATTTTGCTGTAGTCTTTTACTTTCTACGCGTAGCTGATGCACTTGCAGGCTGATCATAAATGACACTCATTATAACTATATCTAGCTAACTATTCATTCTACTCTTATTATATGTAGCTTTGGACTAAACATAGAAGTCAATTGAACAAATGAATATTAGAATCTTATGTTTGTTTTTTATGTAGAAAATGGATCGAAGTTGGATGTACAATAGAGTAAATTCTAATAGGTATGGTTTGAAAGATGAATTTGTTAGTGGAGTTGAAGATTTTGTCAATAAAGCCATGAATCGACCAAATTTTTTAAATGATGGAGGGATAAGGTGTCCTTGTGAAAAATGCGTCTGCATTCCCTTGAAGACGCCTAGTGAGGTTAGACATCACTTGTACAAAAATGGTTTGTTGCCCAACTATTATACATGGACTGATCATGGAGAAGATACTCAGAATGTAGACTTTTATGGTCATTCTAGTAGTGGCAGAAATGATGGTGGGGATAATCAGGGTGATGAAGAACAATTTGATGCAATGAATGAAATGGTATATGATGATAGGAGGCAATTTGTTAATGTTCCCAATGGGAATGCTAATATGGAAAATGAAACAGTTAGTGAGGGCGAGGTACCAAATGAAGAAGCTCAATGATTTTATGATGTATTAACCTCTGCAAACCAACCCATTTATGAGGGAGCTTCTGAATCCAGACTATCTATTTCAGTTAAGCTGTTGGCTGCCATGTCTAATTGGCATGTTCCTCAAAAGGCCATGGATTTTTTCACTCAAATGCTTATCGATGTTTGTCCAATAAATCAATGCTTACCTGAAAACTATTACCAAGTGAAGAATTTTGTGTCTAATTTGGGATTGGAGGTTGAGAAAATTGATTGTTGTGTGAATGGATGCTTATTATATTATAAAGAAGATATCACTTTAACTCATTGTGGAGTTTGTGGGGCTGCTAGGTATATTCCTCGAAAGAGTGGAATGGGAAAATACAAAGATATGGCAGTGAAGAGAATGTTCTATTTTCCAATCATTCCTAGGTTACAACGACTTTATGCTTCAAAGAAATATGCAGCTCAAATGAGATGGCATCATGAGACCACAAGCAATCCAAATGATCTGCGTCACCCATCTGATGGAAAGGCATGGAAACACTTTGATGAAGTTTATCCAGATTATGCTAGTGACCCAATAAATGTAAGATTGAGTTTATGTACTGATGGGTTTACACCTTACATTCAAGCCTCTAGTTCTCCTTATTCATGTTGGCCGATAATAGTCACACCATACAATATCACTCCCAAAATGTGCATGACCAAACCATACATGTTTTTGACTTATCTTGTACCTGGACCGTACAACCCAAAAGTTAAAATAGATGTCTACTTGCAACCTTTGATTAATGATTTGCTGCACTTGTGGAGAGATGGCATTGTGACATATGATATCTCTATGAAGCATAATTTTGTAATGAGAGCGCATTTAATGTGGACAATCAGTGATTTTCCGACATATGGTATGTTGTTTGGATGGGGGACACAAGGTAAATTAGCATGCCCTTATTGTATGTCATCGTCGGTTTTTGCCAATGGATCATCCGTTTAGAAAAAGTAAAAAGAGATTTAAAAAAACATTATTAAGAAAAAAAGACCACCTTACATGTTTACCGGCCATGATCTCTGGGAAGTTGTCCGTGATTTTCCAAAAGTCACAGATAGTGACTGGGCCACCAAATTTCCAGGGTATGGAAAACAGCATAATTGGATCAAAAGAAGTATATTTTGGGATCTTCCATACTGGAAAGACAACTTGTTAAGGCACAACCTTGATGTGATGCACATAGAGAAGAATGTATTTGATAATGTGTTTAACACAGTCATGAATGATCCTGCAAAAACAAAATACAATGAGAAGGAAAGATTGGATTTACCTCTTAACTGTTTACGTGGGGATTTAGAGATGCGTCCTCTACCTAATGGAAAGATGGCTAAGCCAAAGGCAAAATTTTCGTTGACATCTGAAGAGGCAAAGCTAGTTTATAGATGGATTAAGGAACTAAAAATGCCTGATGGCTATGCCTCAAATCTTTCTAGGTTTGTTGATGTCACCAAAGGTAGGATGAAGGGGATTAAATCCCATTATTGTCATGTATTCATGGAGTGTTTGCTTCAAATTGCTTTTCGTTCCTTGCCTAGTGAGATATGGAAGCCGCTAATCGAGTTAAGCTGTTTCTTTAAAGACTTGTGTTGTAATACATTGAAGTTGGAAGACCTTGTTAGGTTGGAACAGAACATTCCAATTGTATTATGATATCTTATGGGTATTCATTTTGGTGTCGTTATTAATCTTTCCATTCTTTACTGTCATTATTTCTTGGAGCTTGCGTCACTGGGCTGATTTGCATCTTATAGTTTATGGTATTTACATGAAATGATGATTCTCCTTTTTAGTTTACACAATTGTATTGCCACCCATTTTGATTCATTTTGATTTCTTACCTACATATTCGTGTAGATTTCTGTGGCTCGTGGTTGGTGTAAGTTGAAATGACAAGAGAATGGTCAAAGAAGAGAGCACCAATAAGCAAGAAACCGTAAGATGACTAAAACTTTCACTATTTAGTTTCTTTACAATTTAATATCTTTTGATGCATTCTTGCTAATGCCAATTGTGTTAAAAAAAAGTTATTGATAGGTTATGCCGCACACGACATATGCCACCTGGGGCTCTAGCTGTAAACACATCTCGCTTGAAGCATGACACAAGGAACAAAAGCACCACTTCTAGCATGCGTCAAAGAACACAAGCTCCTCCACCGCCTCATACTAGCGTAGTACCACCACCGCCTCATACCACCGTAGCACCACCATTGCCTCATACAACCGCAACACTTTCCCCGCCTCTTACAGCCCCAACACCTCCACTGCCTCAGACAATCGAAGCAGTATCACAGCCTCAGACAACTGACACATCACAGACATTTGAGGAATCCACATTTGTTCCTACCCCTGGAGTGACACATCATGTTTTGCAAGGTCCAGCTGTCAATCACACCACGATAGCAGGGGAGGAAGATGAGAGGGACCAAACTGTTTCTGATGAGGAAGAGGAGGCCGCAGAACAAGCATTTGCTGACGGGCAAAGGCCAATGAGCATTGTGGGAAACGGGTAAAATATTTAGTTACGCACACTTTTTGATACATAAAGCATGGAGTTAAAAAATCCTTTTTTGCGGTCCAAATTTGTTGTTGTTTAGTGTAAAACACTTAGATAATCTCTGCAACACTTAGATTTTGCTGCTTATTCAAGTATGAGAACAGGTCTATAACATTATAACATAGTACATTCACCAAATAAATGTCTAATACAAATATACTACTAATAAAATGCAATGCATTTACATAAGTTTGCAGAATACTATGTTCACATGATCTTTGTTCTAATTGTTTGGTAAACTTGATATTTACTATGTTTACATAAGTTTTAATAAAAATTTATAAAGGAAATTTCTTGCAGTATAGTGAGCTTAAACCTGAGAATAGAAGAGAAGAGAGACATGCATACTTTGATTTGTTTAAAGTAAGACATATAATTTCCTTTTTACTATAGTATGATGATAATGTATATTTTTTTACAGTTTAATCAACAATATTTCTCTTTTGGCAGTCTTTTGTTCAATGGGAGCCGTGTGCTGACGCCAAAATACAAGATTTGTTTCATAAAGCTTGTGGTAAAAGAATATCTGATATATTTGGTAAGATTAGGAAAAAGGGGGGAAAATCGAAATGGATGAGTGAAAAGGTTTATGCGTATCTTCTTGATGGGTGGCAAACGGAAGAATTCAAAAATGTCTCTCGACAAAATAAGACTAATCGAGCATCAACCAAAGGGGGGCGGTCCATACCACGGGACGTAAAGCTCATCATGATGTTGCTATAGAATTGATGTGTATTCTATTTGTAATTTCAACGCGTCAACATATTTATATCTGATATCCATCGTAACCATATATATGTTGTCTTTATTTATAGGAGAAAAAGTTGAGCTGACCACCAAATTCGGACGAGCTCTTCATGGTCACCCATAAAAAGAAGAATGGGCAGTGGGTTGACCGTCGTGCAGAGAATACACATGTAAGACCTTTTTTTATGCCTTAACTTAATTTCATATCTGTGTCTAGTTTTTTCATACTGCATTTATGCTTCCATATTGCTTCCATACTGCACCAGTGTATTCACCAGTGTATTTGAAATGCTCAGTATAGTTATAAGCTTTGCATATGACCAGTGTTGTTTGGAATGAATGTTGTTAGATTATTTCCTGTGAGATTTACTAATTTAGCTAATTTCCTGCTTGTTTCTTCATCTTTATCAATCTAAAATTTGAATCGTCTAACACAAGCCATGTTACTGAATGCTGATTAAACATTCGCTATGCTAAAGTTCACACTTTAAATATTGCTTCATTTTTCAAGTGTAAGTTTCAAATTAGTACCTTGTTATTTATTCTAGGAGAATCCTCTCCAAACCATGTTTCTTGCGATTCACTTAGGAAATGAGCAAAACATGAATTTATGAACATTCCCCCTCTGTTCGAATAAAAGTAGAACGGTTTCAAAGTTGCAAACATGCTGAGCCTAAAACCTGAGCAAAGTTCATGGGATTAAAAAAAGCCAGTCCTATTTACAAATACTAAAAAACGTGAAACCTGGTTTCAAAGCTGCAAGTGTGTCGACTTGCTCATCCTGCAGTAATTGAATATACAACGTAGAAAGTTAAGAACAAACTGCATCAAAAAACCATTACCTGGAAAATTCAATATTAGGGAATAACATGTTAAAAATTACCTACAATGTAACTAGACTTTTGACGAAGTACCTCATAGTGTGATTCAAACTGAGATTTCTTCTGCATAAACAGGATGCAATTTACAATTCAGTTTTGCTGTAATGACTGAATGATAGAGTAAATTAAATTAAATTGACATACCCATCAAGGAAAAGACATGCATCACTCAAGCATTTAACAATAGTAGTTGTTGGCAAATTAAACTAACACAAGCTAATTTCGTGCTACAATTATCATATATCTTATTGTTTCAGGAAGCTTATTGGAATGTCCTAATTATTATATTGTGTTGTACAGAATGATTATGTGAATCGTCTAACACAAGCCACCCAAAATGATAATAATATGGATGGATCAGAAAAGATACAATTATGAAAAGAAGCTACCGGCAGTAAGTCACGAGGCTGATGTTATGGAACTGCCCGAATGGCAGTCAACATACAATATGGAGTGTCTTACTTGACACAAGTGACCATTTCAAACTCGAATAGAGAAGCGGAGAGCCAAGCCATTGAGATGGCTAGAGCAGAGGCTTCTAGAGCACGTGAAGAGGCTGTATTAGTTAATGCGCGTGCAAACGAAGCGAATGTGAATGCAAGAGAAGCTATGGCTGAGACAGCGAAATTGAAAAGGAAAATTGAAGAATTTCAGAAATAATTGTTTGCTTGGCAGTCGGGTCAGGCGGGTACTTCCACTGTTTCTTCTGGTGTCCATCCTAATGCTAGTGATCATTATGATGATGACTCTGATGGTCAGTCATTGGATCTAGAGGGAATGAGTGATGGATGTTGACATTGTCTTTTTCTTAGTTTTAAAACTTGTTTTGTGGATTTTCACTAGTTTCATATTGTGTTGGTATTTTGATGTAACTTTGATATCTTTATGTAATAACATTGTGGATGAGAACTAGTTTGATATATTGTGTCAATACTTTGATGTAATGACATGTTAATTAATGTAGCAATATCGTAGATTTTTGGAAGTTTGTTATCTAGTGTTGAGGTTTTTGTGATAATATATCAATGAATAGTTTGAATTACAAAAACAGGTTTAAATTTCAAGTAGAATTAATTTGGATTTAAATAGGTATATATAATATAAAACAGAACTGTCAGAATAAATAAACAATAGCGTCGGCTAAAATCGGCGCTTCTAAACAGCATAATAGACCGTTGGCGTCGACTTTGAGTTATGCTACATTGTACGACTTTAGCTATGTAGCGTCCTTTATGACCTACGCTGGATCTTAAAAATAGTGGCCCACAGAACCGACGCTAATACATTGAAGATAATATTTAAGTGACTCACTAAATCGATGCTATTTAAAAAAAATATTATAGTGGCCATCTAAACCGCCACTAAATAAATGTTAGCATCGACAACAACTGACGCTCAATGAAAACAATTCTACAATGTAGCGTCGATTTTGATAAGATAGCGTCCCATTAGCGTTGTTGTAGTCGACGCTACATGTAGCGAAGGCTGGTCATTATGGTTTGCTTCCACCTTTAGCGTGTCTGTCCCGACCCAAACGCCAAGCCGACGCTAAAGGCATTTAGCGTCAATTTTTTACTCGTTAACGATGATTGTTGACCGACGCTAAAACGCAAGTTTTTTGTAGTGTTTATTTATTTTATATCAATTTTAATTTAAATAATTAAAATTATTATTTTAAATGATATAAAATTTACGAATAAAATATTAATATATAAAGTAAAGTTGTGGAATCTAATATGAATTCTTTAGAGTTGTATCATTGAAGTGAAAAACTAATTGAGTTGCTTCAAACCGACATAACTTAATAGATTCTGTAAAAAACTCAAAAATAGATTCACAGTTAGAGATGCTTTAAAATCTATGAAACTTATTGTTAAAAGTGTCTATTTTGTGAGAGAGAGGATGTTACAAGTCTATCACTAAAATAATAATTAATTCTTGATTGGAATATAAGTAATATTGTATTATGCCATGAATAAAACAAAAACACGGGTGTGGTGGTTGATTAGTCAAACATAAATTTTAGGCCCACTCTATTCATTCTTCACACTTACTAATTTTATTTATGTGTGTTGTTTTCTTCCTTTTAGGTTGAGCATATGTTAAATGACATAATGCTCCAATTTGTCAATATTGATTTGCAAGAGATTCAAGGTATTTGAAGCATATCCCATCGTCTTTTTTATTCTATCAATATGACACTTACAAAACCAAAGCTTGTCAGTGAGAAAAAGTACAAAAACTGATGTAAACAAGTAATAATTTAACTTCTACGTTCCAAAATAAACTTGAAACTCTGTCCAGGTTACTGGCCTATTATTGTGTCTTACTATACAATATTAGTATTTATGTGTATCTTATTTAGTAGAAGCAATGCAAGGGAGCCATATTCTTGTAAATGCAAGAGTATTCACATTAAATTATTGCATAGGAAAATTACACTAAATTTATCAATTAAAACTTTTTTTTTTTTTAATTTTGAAATATATTAGCTGCGGATTTTGTATTTTGCGGACTTATCAACAAATTTTGAATCCGGTTGATTTACCTGTAAATTTATAATTACCATGAAAATTTTAGTTGAGAATCAAAAATAATATGAAAAATTGTAGAAAATGTGTTTATGTAGATTTTTAGCTTAAATTCGAAGGAAAATAAAGTATTTCTAGTAGTATAATATTTTATATGATAGATGTCAGAGAGATAGAAAAAAACACAATGGAAATATGTTTTTCATTTGAAATAAGAAAGGATGAAGTTTGTTGTGTTATTTTTTCATTAAACTGGAGCATATAGTTTTTTTTATTATATAAAAATAGTAGTAGAAAGCAAACAATAGCAAACAAAAACTTGAAGATTTTTTTTTTGGTGATAGAAATTTTGAAGTTTCTTCTTGTCACCCGATTATATCGGATACCCCTATATTTCAATAATATCTATATTGCTCTTGATAAAATTTAAGTAAAAAAATCCGGATATAACATGTGGTAGAACAATTTATAAAATTTGGTAACTAGCAAAAAAAAAAAAAAAATAGTAGTATATATGAAAAATTCAGTGCACTCAATTTTTTTAAATAGGTTGAGATTTTGGCGACACTTTTGTACAAACGTGATTGCACCGATCGTTTTGTGTGGTCTAGAATGAATTCAAAGTTGTATAAATAAGAGTCATTTATTGTTGAGAAAAACATCTCAAAATTCATCTTCCTCAATGTTTGATTAAGACAGAAACGTACTTCAACAAAGTGAAACATCTTATAGAGTTCTGACTTTTGAAGGACACCGCATGTCTCGTCGTATTGAGATCCACGTTGAATGATTTGTTACCCGATATTGAGAATAGAAAGATTGGCAAGATCGAGTTTCATACAGACTATATTGATACTGATGAAAATGTGAAATATGATCTTATTGAGTTGAAGACCGATGAAGGTTTGAAGGTTATGTGGGAAACATTTCACCGTAGACTAACTAAGGGACTGGCGGAGTTTGAATCAACAATTTCTAGATTTGTTGACAATATAATCAAGATGTTAAAACTTTTACAATCATCTGGTAGTGTTTAGATTTTCTTATTTATTATTGTTTTCTTAAATTATGTAATTGTTTGTTTAAGTTATGTAACCATTTGTCAAATGTTAAGGTATGTTCATAATGCATCAATAATAGTGTCAATATGTTATCTAATAAATAGTATTGTGAAAATATATAAGTAATGTTACACATAATATACAAATAATACAAAAATAATAATAATGTCTAAATAGGTCCCCCACTGGCTATGTATGTTGCATGTGATGCAAAACTAAAATTTTTGCCATCCGGGTTCACCAAACCCATGAGGTTAACCATAATGATTATTATCATCTACAAGCACTGAGCGTCATCCGCACCATATGAAAGTGGTAGAGGCGGCGCCACATCATCAGAAGATATTCAACATCAGCATGAGAAGATCCAACATGAGAAGGTCCAGTATCATCTTCATGTTGCCTAAGTCGGATGATGCGAGTGTGTGATACAATAAGGTACCAATTCAAATACCCATCCACACACTCCATAGGGAATTGAACCTCCAATGCACAATCACTAATGAAAAGTGAAAACCTCGTAATGTTACCACGAAACCAACTATCAATGACGTCACATGGAATAACAGGGACTGGTCGTGGAATATCCTGGACATATCTAAATTGGCGCTGACACCTCTCAGGTAAGTGTCTAGCCAGTAACCCCTCCCATCACAAATAACAAGAAAAGTGTAGCGTCATCGAACTCGTCATCCACTCTATGACATGTGTGAGATGTCCAAATGATATAATCTACAGTCAGCGCATCAATCCTCCTCTTTTACTCCACAACACCTCCAGAGTGTGCATGCCTTTCCCTCCATCTCTTGGCCCATGGGGATCCAACCGTGCTAGAAATAACCCGTCTATCACAAATGGACACTAAAGGTTTGTATATCATGCACCGCACAATTACAAAGACTCAAATAACCAGAAATAATGTCATAAATAGAAATAATATAATAAAAAATAATAATTTAGTTATACCTAAAATAAACTCATATAACCAGCAAGTTGTCTGGTCTAAAAAATAGTGGCCTCTCCAAGGGCATCATATAGAACAACCAATGCAGCACACCCGCATGCCAAGCTGCAATGCTCAAGGCTGTTAAACAACCACATGTAGTTCACATTGATATATACATGAGACTTATCCGCTAATATAATACATCCTACAAGATGTAGCATAGATACCCCAACGACTGCCTCATACATACCCTGATGCACTAGATCGCCATATCTATCCCACAACTAAGATGGGCGGAAGTAAGCACCCCCTCACAGTCCTAAACTCCTTTATCACTTGCTTTTCAGTAACCCCTAAGTACTGTACAACAGTTATACGTGCGGTCTCCTAACTAATAATGTAAGCGGTGAAGAAATTACCTGACATTGGAATATGGAAAAGCAAGGAGACATCATCCAATGTAATCGCCATCTCACAAAATGGAAGATGGAAGGAAGATATCTCCTTATGCCATTGCTCAATAAAGGTTGTCAATAGTTGAATGTCCGACATGGTCATTGATCTATACACTAGTGGAAGGAGGCCACACTCCTCTACTATTGTCTTCACCTCCGGTGGCATCACGACATCAGAGAACTTCTTCAGCTTCAACACATGAGAGGCACCTTAAGCGGAATACAATCCTGTAACAAAAAAAGAAAAAAATATCATCACTTAATTTCAAAATACCATTAATAAATAAAGTCACATAATCAGCATATCATATACATATCTCTCCCTACCACAATCTGAATGCCACATGATCCTCATATCCTCTAAGAACAGAACAATCACTGGGCCCACCAGGAAACCCTCTATCTATGTGCATAGACGATTCTGTCGAAGCAGGAGCAGTGACATTTGTCTCAACACGAGGAGTAACCTTCATATCATTAGTAGTTGGAGCCTCAATAAATGTATGGGGAGTAGGTGCCTCAACAACTGTCTCTAGAGTAACCTCTATAGTAGATAATGCCTTTACCTCAAAAGGATGGGACACCACTGTCATCTCAAGTATGTGGCACCTCTATCTCTGCCAGATGGGGCACATCTGTCTCTGCTACCATTTGCATGTCATCTTGAACCGGTGGCTGAACATCAACTGACTCATCCTCATCATCTCTCATCCATCAAGAAGCAGATATAGATCCTCTACGTCAGATAGTGTGGGGTACATGAAACTGAGCCCGATCGAACAACCGCCTCCTATGAGAACCG